TTCGCTGATCCGCGTCTCCTCGTCGTGTGCTTTCCTTCCTCTTCTCGTGCGGTGCTTCTCTGGTAAAGTAACAATCCGTTTCCGCGGTAATCTGTTTGGGTGGATGTTGTACTCCTCTCGCTGATCCTCATGGGCTATGATCGCAAGGCGACCTCATCATCGGTGTGATCCAGCGATTCTTGCACAGTGTGGCTCAATCCGAGGATAGTGACTTCCAAAAACTGCACCGGCGAGGCTGAAGATAACCCCCGATAAGCGCGATGGGGTTGTCCAAGCAGAGACTGTCGGAAAAGCTACGGAGTACCTGGGATGCGGAGGCCCGGACTTAATCGACCCCTGCTATACTGCTGTACATCCATGATAGTACAATGATATGACTTATCCAGCCAGGCTCTGAGATAGGGGTTTACTGATAACACCTATCGCTTCCCGTCAAGCCAAGTCAAGTCGCCCCTGGCATACTACGTAGATAGTGTAGGTAGATGGATAGATCGCTTCCTTTCCAGAGTCGATCTATCACGACCGGACAGGGACTCTGCGATGACCCCGGGGGAGTAGGGCAGACCAGGCAGCAATTGGGGGCCACCTGTGGCAGTAGTCGACCGGTCGGGGCTGTGAGTCGGTCGGTCACCGGCGATAAGCCAGGGAACAAGAAAGAAAAAAACGAAGGGTCCATGGCTAGAATGATCCATGGCGCCCAAAACACACACTTTGACCGTCTGCAGTACATTCTTGATGTACTGATGTACTGGGTACGGTAGGTGTAGGTACTGTACATCGAACGAACTCGTCTAACTTGTCAACCATGACTATGATGCAGTGTGACGTGATGACCAACCCCAGTCAAAGTCAACACAAGTCAACAGGGAAGCTGCCCGGTCCATGTCCAGTCTAGTTCAGCTTACTCCGTATGGTGTCGGCTTAATTTCGTCGAAATTTCGAGAGTAAGACACTAAGACACTCTGCCCCTCCTCCCCGGATGATGATGATGATGATGATGATGAATGAGACATTCTCGTTGCTAGGACAGAAAACAGATAACAAAGTTACCGTGAGCTGTCAGGTAAGGAGAAACAACCGATAACTGCAGTATACATTACATTAAGTCGTCTAGACTGTGGAAACTGTCATCGTTGCATGAGGGGGGAAATGCGAATATGCGAATATGCGAATTTAGCTACCGCGGAAGCAGCAGTAACCGCTACAGTAACAGCCATATGCGCTATAGATGTAGGTGCTGCACTCCGCATGCAGAAAATGGAAGCAAGAACACATCCGCGTGGCTAGGAGGGGTTTTTTAAGTTGAATGCACAGCAATGTTCGAGAGAGGGCAATGACAGTGAGGGAATGCATGTATTCTCCTATCTAGCAACTACTAGATAGTAATCTAGATAGTACCGTAGTTCGATGCCGTGAGCCGATGAGGGTTCAGGGTTCTTTCCAGTTCCAGTTCCGCTGCCGTTTTTCGCAGGATTGGAATCCATCCCGGGTTGGGCCAATCCTCAACCCGACCGCGAGCAAATCGGAGCGTAAGGAATTCAATGGATTGAAGCGACTCGAGGGGTTCTACTCCGTAGGTAACATTCCCCCCATCCTTTGTTGTCTGACTCGAGCATGGATACATCTGACTACTGCTCCGTACCTCGGACTATCTGATTACATACATTGCTCATTTCGGGAAGAGAAGGAAGAGAGGAGAAGTAAAGAGGATCGGGCGAGACAAGCGAAGGGCCAAGTCCTTTACTATGTGCAAGTCATAAAGTTCTAGATTGCTTTGGGTTTAAACTTCAAGGCAAGAAGTAAAGCCCAGGCGGTAGTGGGGAAGGATTGCGTTGCTCATCTCCAAAAGTCTTGTACTCAGTATACCAACTCCCACCGTATCTACGGAGTACTCCAGACGAGATCTCCTCCGCGTCGCAAGCCCATGACGATCAGTTACAAGAAGTCAGGGCTTGGATCATCTCATTATTGCGACGCAATGAAATCAATCTTCCTACAGCCCGCGGAACGAAACACCCAACCAACACCGCCTGTTTCGTCGGGTCTCAAGCTGGCCATTTATCCGACCGTTGGCCTTTTTTCCTTTGCCTCCTTTTTTTTTTTGGTTGCCCTCGCTTTTCTTTTTCCGTTGATATACCCTATACCTGACTATTTGATCGTCCTTGGGCGGGCATGTGACAGGCAGGAAGTCCTCTCGCATTTCGACTCTTACTGAGTTGGGTTTAAGGTCCAGTGGTGGCTGAACCCGCACGGGAGAACAGAAGAATTCATCCAATATTGATTGATTACAAGGGAGTTGTACTCCCGTTCCTACGGCCCTACATTACTCATGTAGTGATGATGATGATGATGATGCCGATGCTGGCAAGGTGGCGGTGATAGTCATGCCAATCCCCGATTCATGGCCCGTCTGGATAATCTCATTCCGTCCAGGGCCCTCTTTTTTTCGGCGGTCCATCAATGAGGGGATAAGCCTTAGTATGTGTATGCGCGTCAAGATTGAGAATTGTGATGCGGCGACGACGACGACGACGACGGAGAATGGGGAACTTCTGCCAGAGAGGAACTCACCCCGCCCACTCAGCTTACTCTTTTTCTTTTTTGGTACAGACTTACCAGCTACTCATACTACTGTACTCCGTAGTTTCACTCCATACTTCCCTTCCTCTGCCGCTGCCCGCAGGGATCCAGGGAGGTAAAAAAGTAAAAGTATACCAAACCCTGGTTTGCGCTATCGGCTATCTCGGACATGGGGGCGGCAATTATTTGATGTGTATTATGTACGGAAGTACAAGAATGAGTGTACGTATGGAACGGAGTATGCTGCTCTGTGAGTGTGAGTGTGATCGATCTCGCTGCCGGGGGTGCTTTCTTTCACAGTGGTCAGTCAATTGGCATTTGATCTAGCTTGTGATTTCCTACTCGGCTCCTGCATGACAATTTTTTTTTGTTTTTGTTTTTTTTTTTTTTTTGCTTTGCTGCCCAGCTGGAGGATTGCAGATGAGGAAGAAGAAAAAGAAAATACTGCAGTCAAGTATGACGACCAAAACAAAACAAAACAAAAAATTGACGAAACAAAACAAAGTAACGGTGAATACGAAAGAGATGAGGGGGAACAGATGAGGAGGAGTGGAGAGAGGGGGAACCGAGAACGGAGGAGGGCCGTGGAAAAAAGAAGCAGTGAAATATGGTCGAGCAATGATCAACAAAGAGTGAGAGAGAAAATAAGAGAGTGAGAGTGAGAGTGAGAGTGAGAGTGAGAAATACCTATTCGGCGCATTCCAGTTAATTGAAGGGGATCCTTGCCGATACTACTTGGCTGATCGGAACCTACAGCCTATCTGGGAATATATCTACGGAGTGTTGGAGAAGGGGAGCCCAGGCTGACCGGAGATTCCGCAGAACAATGGGCGTTCATTAAGGTAGGCTTATGTGAGTATGTCGAGCGCGAGAGCGAGTGTGTATGTGTTGTGTGTGTTGTGTGTTCGTTGTTGTGGTATGTGCGTGTACAGTATGTGCTGCGTACAGTATGTGTGTGTGGGCGAGTCGACTGGGCTAGAAGTAGAGCATCTCCGGTGGGAACCAATTTGACTTCTTCCATCTGCCGTTCCATCGAGCTTCGATTGCGTAAAACGAAGCAGATTAGCGGCCAGAGGCCGTCCCGTCAAATTGGGTACGGAAGTTTGTTAGGGTCCTTCGGGCGTTTGGCAAGTACAGTCAAAGGGTTCCAAATGGGGAGTTCTGGTTATTACTAGGTAGTTACTGAGTGCCATTATTTTCTCCGAGGTCGCTCGCTGCCTTAGTAACTAACCACTTTGAATTTACCTAACTAAACTACAGGCTACAGAGTGTCAGGCGCTGTTTCTTCCTTACAGGCGGCAGACACTATGGTTCGAGGATCGGCACAGTTATCGGATATGGTCGTGATGGAGGAAGGGGAAAACGAGATAGATGACGAGTAGAGTACTACGTTCCATGCTCTCGTTCCGAGTCAGACTGTCAGCAACATCAGCGATGAATGCTTGTTCTGGTTTTCCAAGTGGCCTTTTCCCTGCTAAATCGCCTTAGGCCGAAACCGTTTTCTGTCGGGCTCCATCCGGCTGACGGGCTGAAGGGCGACTAGTAGACTCGGGCTTCTTTTAGGTGACCATTCCTCGAAGGAAAGGGGGGAGAAAAGAAAGCCTGAGGTAACTTAGTCTATTTTAATCATCTATACGGGGTATATCCAGCGGGACTCTGTTGCTGCTACGTATGTACGTATGAGTGAGTACTTTGTAGTGAGGGAAACTTTCCCACAAAACATGGAACGATGAACTGGTGAAAGTGTGGAAGTGTGGAAGTGTGGAAGTATGGAAGTATGGAAGTATGGAAGTATGGAAGCACTATGATTTTTGGCCACTATGTATACAACTCAATACTTGTGCTTGGTAATCTGGCTGAGTGAAAACCTTCATTGGTGGTTTAAGCCTTCAAAGTGGGTATGGTTACGTTACAGTTGACTGTGTTATTACTCAGTTGTTACCCAGTTGTTACCAAACCAACACCCAAGCCGGCACAGGCCAGACCAGCCCATTTAGTGTGAAGTTCACTTGAGTACTTCTGCTGCCGATGCACTCCACTCCACTTCCGGCCCTGGTCCCTCCCTCCCTCCCTCCGTCCAGGCTCCTCCTTCCACTATCCTCCCCCTTCCCTTTCCTTTCCCGATTATTATCAGAGGCTCACTAAACAATATCAGGAAAATTAAACCCAAACTAAACCCAAACTAAACTAAAACCAAAATGTGTCTGTGATTACTATTCTACCTACCTTGTTTCCGCTCGGTCTATGTCTCGCGCTCTGTCTCGCTCTTATTCCGCCGCATTCCCAATTTCCACTTTTCTTTACTTTCTCTCCCCTCTCTTCCTTTTCTTACTTCTCCTCCGTGTCTTTGCTTTTGTCCCTGCAAGCTGGTCTTTGCAGTTGCAGATGCACTGACTGACCATTGCTTGCTTGTTGCTTAACTGATTCCAATTTTCCCACTCTCTGGTTCTGGGCCAGCCTCACCCAGAATTTCTCCCTCCCACACACCCATCTCCAATTCCTCCTTCTCCCTCTCTTCTCTGTGGTGGTCGATTTGCGTCATTGTCTGAGATAACCACCACTGTCGTCACCTACATCGCAACCTGGAAAGCATGTATTGCAACAATGGTCTAGTGTGGTTGTTGGGTTTCGCTAGACCTTAAGCTTTCGCAGACATGGATTTCATAGTAAGTGGCGCCCCGGTCTCTCCCTCCTTCGTCGCAACCTGGTTTGGTTCTACCCGTGAGAATGTGTGCCTGGGATGTGTTACGATCAATCGGATTTCTAAAGCGCATGCAATCGCATTGTCTCCTGCATTATCTCGCCCGCGACTGGACGCAATGTTGTCTGAGACATGCGTGCGACATGGCAAGGGGATTTTTCTTTTGACTCTGCTCCTGTTCCACCCCGCCCTTCAGCCTCAAATCTAGCGCGCCAGTGGACTGACCGACGCGCCTCTAGCTTTCTTTGACGCATTTCTGCGAGGTGCATGGTCCAACCTCGATCATTTGCTCGCAGGTTCTTCCTTTCGCCTGCCAACAATGCTATCCCGAGCCTTCCGACTATTCTCCCACTGATACCCCTGCCACTTCTCACGACACCGCTTCCTCCCATGGCATGCAAAGTCAGACAAACAGCAAGCCCCCTTCATCCGCTAAACTATCTGAAAGGAGCCCGGAAACCGGCGACCGGTCGCCTCGGATGGAAGACCACCCGTATTTTTTGAAGACCAAGACCCCACCCGCCGAGAGCCAGCAACCTTCGAGCCATCTGGGAGGCGCGGAGGGGGACACCTGTGCCAGTTGTAGTTTGACGCTACCAGAGAATGTAAGCAAGCAGCTACCACCTGGGGCACCGGGGGCACCCAAGAGTGATGGCAAGGGTCGGAACGGTAGTCCGGTCCTGCGCTCCCGGCAGGTCGTCTACACCTGTGGCAATAGTTCAGCTGATCATGAAGATGGCGACCCGCACGTCCATCAATCCTATCCGGAGTCTCTCCATTCGTCCTCTGTTACGTCAGATGCTTCTTGCCACTCACACATTCTCACCTACCTGTCCCTGCGTGGACCTCCAAATCCTACCGATTACGCCATCCTTCGTCGCTCGTCGATCCGGACCCTGAGTTGTGAGCTCTTACCACGCGGACTATCTTCCGGACCCTTGAGTTTCGGGGACGGAATCGCCGGCTATACCATCGCGTTCGTCTTTCGTCTTCCCGATCCAATGGCTCGTGGGAAACGACGCAGCTACGCCTTCCTCGCCTTGGCGGGCAGAGATGGGGGCAGGGCATTCCGGGCCTCCCCCGTCATTTGGCGAACCTTCGGGCGCATTGCCGCCGGAATGGCAAACTCAGCAGAGAAGTTCCAGGAGGAAGAGAAACGCCGGGAGGAGCAGAACAAGCGCCCTGACAGGGACGGAAATAAACCATACACCCCTGTTTCTTCATTCCTCACTGGACGTGCACTGGATCCGGCCGGGCAACTCCGCCGGCCTGGGCCCGTTCGTGCAAGGAACCTATCGGAGATCACGGGTAACCAGTACATTTTTGCGGAAATCCACGCGCATTTTGTAGCTCTTCTCCAACAGCTTGGCCACCAGTTCGGCACATACCCGGTCTCGGAAGAGCAAATCATCAGCACTATCCGCGAAGAGGAAGGTATTGCTGCAGCGAGACGGCAGTCTACCTCTATGGCAGGTGGGAAGGAAAAGTCTCGTCGCAAAGCCTCCCAGCAATTCGGTGATGATACCGATCTGGGAATGTCGACTTTGAACCTGTCTTCGGCCGCCGGACCAAAGCCTATCCCCATCACCCCTCGCCGACCTGTTGTCGCTTGAGTTATCATGGCTCACTTCTTTCAACAAGTGGATCCACAATTTACAATCAACCGATCCACAACATATCAATCCCCGTGATGTTTTATCACACTAGCTACCACGCTTTGCTATACCACGTGATCCTCATTTCGGACACTTTGATTGATTTTTACGGCGTTCGGATCTTTTTTTCCCCCTTTTCGTTTGCGGACTTATTACGGGATTCCACATAGACTACGGCGCCTTTAAGATTGAGATGGAGTTTGGGCACATTCCCGGGTTTGCTTCAGTTAGTTTTCAGCATGTCCTTAGACAAGCGGCCTCTGTTTTGCTTCACTTCTTCTTCCTGCGCCATCGTGGTGGGGATTGTCTTATTATGATACTAATTTCGAGAGGAGGGGATTATGTGGTTCATGAATCCATGATTGAATGTCAGTACGAGGCAACGAAGGATGCACTTGTGAGACATTTGGCATGCATGCATGTATGTAACTTATGGTTATGGTTTCAAGGGGTATTATGGGACTTAATCACGATTGTACTATCAGATCGAAGTAAAACTTCTGTGTGTTTGCTTATCAATTCCACCGAGTCCATATATCTAACTATAGATCGATGCGTAGCGACCAGAGATGGCGGTGTGGCTGAAGGACCCGCAATGCTCGGAGTCTAATGCACCTTTCTGTCTGTATCCATTTGACAGTTATCAAAATGTCCGAGATAAGCTAATCTGACAGGCGCAGGGCGCGCATTGGCGTCGTACCTGAGTCATGACCGATTAGATATCTAGCCGACGACTGTAATTACTCTTACATCGTTAGCAACAGTCCATGTAGTACAGTACTTAGTCCATGTTGTCTCGATGATCCCATGTGATCGGTGTCTGTGGAGCACCCTGATTGCGGGGGGTTATCTATCGATCAAGAAGGTGTGTATGAGTAGTTCGATGCTCTCCGCAGACTCTTTGGGCTGGTAAAAGAAGGGCCGTGGGAATTAGGTAGATAATGTGGAGGAGCTATGGCATGTCTAGTATAGGGATTGATGCGTTGCTATCGGTGAGCATTTCACTATATCATAGTGTCGACATATCCTAGTATTCCATAAGAGTGACGGGCCAGGGGGTCTATACCAATATGCACCAGTTTACAAGGTGCGGCGGGCGGTGGGTTTGCTTACGGGCATTGCTGAGGCTTCTGAGGCCCTTGGGGGCTTTGTGGGCGTGACCGAGTCTTTGGGCTGGTTGGGCTTGGGGTCATGTGCATGGGAGAGCCTTTCCTCCATCTTACTTTCATTCTTTTTTCTTACCCTTTTGTTGCATCTATCATCCATTTCACACTCAGTGGTTCCTTCAGCTTACTTTTATCGATTCACCGTTTGCCCAAAGGATAGGTACCCAACCCCCCCGTCTTGGGTCCGTGTTTCCACTGATCCCAGACATCGACTTCATGAGACCGCGCCTTCTCTTGAAGTCGAGCCATATCGACGATTAGGATGCGCTGAGGTCGAGTTTACTTAGGCACCAGGTTGACCGTGCATTAGCATTGTCTCCGATCTGGATAGTAGCAAGCACTGACACCAAAAGTTTGTTAAGCGACATTACATATATACCAATCCGTTCGAACAATTGATCTATACACTTAAGTCAAAACCCAGCGGACCAACTTTTTCATCTATGTCAACACCAATCCAAGAATCCATCTATATATACATCTTTCAGAAAGATCGCCAGAGCCAGGAATCCCGAGTTTAGACAACGGCTACTATCCTCCCTACCACTCCCCCTCCCCCTCACTCCCACTCCCCGCATACGCCTTCTTCCGCAACTTCCACAGTCCCTTCTCCCGCGGCGTGCTAGCTGCGCCGCCCTCCGCCTGCCGACTCCGCGGATCCTCGATCACCGTCATCCAGGGCACGTTGGTGCTCGCCCGGCGGACGCGATCTTTAAGCAACTCCGCCACCCGCTGCTGGCTGCGCGCCTCCGCGGCGACGTCTTTGTCGTTGACAGCCTTGCCGCCGTTCCGCTTGGCGAGCTTCTCGAGCGCGTCCCGGTGGCGTTTCTGCGCCGAGCGCGCCGCGTAGTACTCCTCGCTGATCGCCCAGTTGGGGTGGTCCAGGAGGCCGCGCACGAGGACCAGCGAGTGGCCCTGTTGGCGGGCCTGCTCGAACTGCGAGCCGGGGATCGGGGTGACGAGGTCGATGGTGTGGGCGGCCGGGTCGATCGAGCGGACGAGGGCGAGTCCCAGGCTGTGAGATTTGCGCGGGTCGAGCGGGTTGGAGCTGCCGGAGCCGGCGAAGAGGTAGGGGAGGGATTCGTGGGCGGTGAGGGTGATGTTAGTGGTGAGGGTGATGTTAGTGGTGAGGGTTGCTGGAGGGGCGGGGTTTAGATTGTTGGAGGGGCGTTTGTTGTTGTTGTTGTCGTCGTCGGCCATGCTGATGTCCGAGGCGGCGTCGCTGGCGTCGGCGGGAAGAACTGAAGTGTTAGTGGTGGTGGTGAATTCTGGGGTAGAGTTGCCGCCGAGAAGCGCGTTGGGAGATTCCACGGCGACGACGGCGACGAGGCTTCCATCCAAAATTTCAGAGAGGAGGTCGGGATGGATCTGCGAGCCCATGACCATGACCCCCTGGATGTCCTGGTTGGGGCCGGAGTAGTGGACCTGGAAGGGCTGCATGTGCGAGAGCGGCTGCTCGAGCCACAGCGGGTTCTCCATGTCGCTGGGCTGGGTCCTGTGAAAGTAGGACTGCATTTGCATGGACCGGAGCTGCGCGCTGGACCGGCTCACAAAATCGGTGGGTTGCGATGGGAGGATCGTCAGAGGCACTTTGGCCTGTGCGGCGGCCTGGCCCAGAGGCTCGATCACCTCGGCGGGCCCCTTTTCGCTCATGTAGACCACGTCTGAAAGACCCAGGGAGCTCACGAGGTAGGTGGCCACCTCGAGTCCGAGGCCGAAAATCCAACCGGGGTAGTTGATGATCAGAGGGCACTGGGGGTAGCTCGCCAGCAAAGAGCGGTAGCGATCCATGAGATCCTTAGCCGCTAAGACGTAGTGGTCGGGATCTTCCTTGGGGGAGCTTGCGCCGATGTGATGAGCTCGAATTATGGTGCCGTTGCGGGAATCGTCCAACGATGGGTGAGAGAATGGAGGGCCAAAGACTGGGGAGCGAAGATGGGCAAGGTACACCTGTCCCATGGGAGAGAATTCAGGCTGGCCGGGGTCGAGGTCGAGGAAGGCAACGCCGTCGGTGTTGCGGTAACTTGACTCGGTTTGCGGAGCAGGACTGAGAAGGTGGTTTAGTAGGTAGCGGCTGAAAGTGGACTTTCCCGAGGCCTTGGGACCACAGATCAGGGTTCGGAGTCGTCCACCGCGCTGAGACAGAGACTTGATGGCCGAGCTCCACTGCTTCTCGAGGTGCAGTGGTCGGAGATGTCTCTTCAAGGCATCATCGGCAGAGGTGTACAGCTGGAGGAGGATCAGTCGTGGATCAGACAGATGAAGGGATCGAACTCACCACTGAAAACGTGCGCTTAGTCGAGGGCGACACGTTCTTCAATGTGATCTTGTCGGCCGCAGTGTTTTTGCTGTTCCAGACTCGTTCGTACAAAGGTGACAGGTGCCTGAGACGGTAGATGCCGCTGTGGCATGACATGACTTCGATTTCGGCCGCCCCGTCCACTCCAGATACGCATTTGATCACCGGCAAGGAATGCGTCGAGGGGGCGTAAACCCTGTAGACTCGAGAGGAGGGGTGCAGCTTTGCACCCATCAGGCTAACCACACCACGCTTAACCCAGAGATCGTAGTGACCGATGAAGACAAGACTCTAAGCTTTGTAAGTATGGCGATATATAATAATGAATCGTAAGGTCGTACCATCTTCTCTTTGATCCGGACGCAGAGCCTATGCTCGTCGCTGTACACCACATTGTTCTTATTCAAGCGGGTCTTCGACAGCGGAAATTCTTGCAATTGCACAGGGGTGTCGGCGGGCAACTCGAATCTATAGATATCAGTGTAGGTTCAGGAAGCTTGCGAGGGAGGTCTTACTCGTCACCATCTCCCTGCAGCGGCGCAAGCCCGACACCATTGGCTTCCTCGACGGCGGCAACTTCTACCTCCGACTCGATGTCTGATGAGGGTTGATCCTCGCTGGGTTGGGATTGTTCCTGAGCCGGTCGCCGTGCGTCTTTCTGCGAGCGTGTCACCCTGCGCGCCTCTTCTGCCGGTTTCTCGACCGGACCAGCATCCTTTCGTCTCGTAGATCGCCTCGGCTGGGTACGTTCCTGCTCGGCTGCGGTCGCTTCTTCCGGGGAGTGTCGGGCTTTCTTCGAAGGAGGCTCGCTGGCCGACTCAGTAGCGACTGGCTTTTCGACTGCTGCTGCTACACTTTGCGCTTGCTGCTGACGAGCTTTGCGGGCCGCGAAGGCGCTGACTGGAGCTACCAGAAATTAAGTCAGTAACGTAACAATCCACACCCGCGCAACCATTCAATCACAGGGAGAAGTTGGGGAAATACCAGCTGCTTGCGATTTCTCCGCTTTTCTCTTCATAGTTCTCGAACGAGCAATTGAAAGCACCCAGAATCACCACTGCAATGCGCAAGAGCGAGTGGTTTGCGGCGGGACCACCAAAAAAAGGTTCATATTTGAGGCCGCGGACTTTCTCGGGTGGTCCGTGCTTCGCGGAGCAGAAAAAAAGGTTATCGTCCAAAAAGTACGGATCGGGTTCCTCGCAACGCAACTTGCAGAGACTCAAGCCTCGTGCATTTTGTCTCACCTGTGTGATTGCGCTAATTACGAACGCACTCTCATCTCTTACGTACTTCTTCTTCTGCTCGCTTCAATTCGATCTGCAACAGTGGCCACAGGGTAGCGCATAACTGCTTGGGGTTCCCGCTTCGTACGTAGCGGCGGCCACTTCAACTTTCAGCACTCGCATACCACAGATATCCTCGAGAGGCACCATGGCATTTAAGTCAGAAGAGAGAGCCCCCGTCTCCGACGACGATGTTTCGATGGACTCATCCTCAGCTGAGTCTGCGACCAGTTCGGCGGGCGAGACAAGCAGCGAGAGCGGAAGCGATAGCGAGAGCGAAAGCACAGCAACCTCTGCCAAGTAGGCTTTGCGAGACCACTTAAATACT